TAATAATTCATATGATTTTACATGTGGCCTGAGAAAATCATGTCTATTATTTTGGTTTGTGAGATCGGAGATCACGCTGTGCACGTGTACAAACATTCAGGAGGACACAAACTTCTTGAGAATGCTGCCCCGTGACTTTTATTAATAAAATAGATTAAATAGCCTACTGGAGAGACACACAGACGCAGGTAGGCTAATCCACACAGGCAACTGTCACCTCTCTCTCTCTCTCTCTCGAATAATTAATTCAAGTAGCTAAATGTTATAATTAATTAATTCAAATAAATGTGATCTTAACGCACTATTTCATCTCTTTCTGATCTGAAGTGTGCAGAATGCTGAGCTAGCGAGCTGTAGCTTCACGTCAGGTGGTTCTTGCCTTCACGTCGTGCATTAAAATCGTTCAATGTACAGCAAGCCGTGCATTAACCCTAATGTGTTTGCTCTTTAGCAGCAGTTTTTTTACAGCAATATTTAAATTACATCCTGGTCATTCGTGGTGTACCCAAAATGGTCCCACACTATCGACAGGCATTTCTCTGGTGGAAATAAAGCTTTGCTGTTAGATCCCTCTGTCATAGTTTATCTAATGCACATAGCGTCGTGCCTCTGATAAGCACGTCATTTTAAGCTGGTGCACCGCTAGTGTAACTTTGTTTTCGTTTTGCGCAAGCTGCAACAGGTCCGTTCAGTGTAACAGAAACACTCGGTTTAGCGGGACCTTTACGATTAATTAACCGTGACGTTTTAAAGCGTGGTTAATCGCGAAACCGGTTAATTGCTGCATCCCTAGTTCCATCCATCAATTGATGATTGTATGGAGGCAGATCTGAATGCAAGCTCACAATCAGTTGTGAAAAGTTGGGGTTTAAGCTGAATAAATGATTGTAGAAGTCATGCATACTGTCTGTCGCTTTGCCAGAAGATCGATTTATGACATTTTGATTAAAAATGACAAAGTATGTTTACATAGGAAAATAAATGGAAAAGCAGCGAAGTGGAATGCAAACGTGAACGGCCCCTTATACTGTATGTGAAGGTTCATCCTGGAATGCTGGGATTTGTATCCAAAGTAGACTTGAAGAGCACCTGTACCGTTTATTTATTCACTGAATAATGACATTTACAGATTATTCTCTCTATCTTTGTCTCATTCATATGATATATTTCCCTTCTTGTGCTCAGTCTGTCTCTCCTCACAACAGCACTGCACATCCTGCCTAACAGAGGCAGGCAGAGATTCAAAAAGAGTAGGTTCGCTTTACACCCCTCCCTTCCTCTTGCCCTCCTCCCTGTGAGTGTGTGCAGCGGTACGTCAGAGCAGAAGACTGGTGTGTATGTGTGTGTGTGTACATGCAGGCTGGTGACTGTGTGAGCCGGTGAGGAAACAGGAGCATCAGAGACAGGAGACTCCACACAGACAGCAAAATCCAGATGCTTACGCCTTTGCCCGCTTCAACGGCGGAACGCTCTGGTCTTACCTGTTCTGCGTTTTGACGGCCATGGAGCTCTGAAACATCTCTGCTGCTCTTTATTGAGAAACGGATGGGATTTCGATTCTGGAACTATTTCATTAGGGCTCTTCTCGGGACTCTTTCCTTTTACTCAGACTGATTCATTCCCTTTCCTGCAGTGTTTTCCTCTCCGTCATGAAACCTGAATTTACTGCTATTAAAATGAAAGCAGAACTGGACTTTCTGTAAGTGTCAGTCATTCAGTTGGAAGTTTGGCACTTGGAGCTGTTTGGATTAAACATGTGGAGCCAGTCAGGATATTCCAACCACCAATCTCATCCTCCTCACCCCTTTTACCATGAACCCTACAGGTGGGTTGGCCTTCCTATTTTATTTTAGATCACAATAGAGGTTAATGATAAAGTATGTGAAGCTAGGATTTTGGCAACAATGTTTACAGATTTTGCGTTCATTTTCCTTTTCCTGTAATGGGGAATGTCCACAGAATGCTGCCGATGGGTCATTTCAGGATGGATCTGCCTGACAGTTGATGCTGAAACCGTTTGGCAGGTTTTTGTTGGATAATACTAGATTAAATCTAAACCACGTGCGTCTGTAGCAGGGATTACGTTGAGAAGAGAATGAATTAACTGCTTTATGTCAAGACACTGTGGAATTCCAACAGGTCCTGTTGAACTGGCAAGTCGAGCGAGTTCTGTGGAAGGGAAGACGTGATGCATGAAAACATGTCATAAATACTTCACTCGTTGTGGCTTTAGTTCCCTTCTATCTCTGTGTGAAGGTGTGCAGTGTGCTCCTCAGTCTGACAGTATGCCTCCATTTTTCATTGTCCTCCTGACTGAAAGTTTTGTATTTCTTGAATATCAGCGGCAGCATTCCAATCTTGAAGCCAAATACTTCTGCAAGTGTGTTTACTTTCCTCATAACTTAAGAGTTTCCTAATAGCTCAGAAAGGACGGAGATTGTTCTTTCATTATTTACTCATTGCAGGCCCTTGGCTCGGATGCATTTCTCATGATTCAGTGGAAATACTACTGTTAGTTTGGACTTTGTTTGCATTTTAGTGTATTTTCAGAGGCACAGCAGGGGTTGCTTTATAGTCTGCTTTATGTTTTCTGCTGCATTGAGATAATTATACCAAACCCATTATTATGAGTTGCTTCTCTAATACTGCCCGTGTGTTTGCCTTTCACTTTCCCTCTCTGTTTACTGGAAAACTCAGTATAACTACATTTGCTGTTATAAAACTGACTCCAATTAAGCAGAGTGGCCTACTTTTGACTCAACTGATAATACTTTGCTGAAAGTATTTCTATGCTGATGTTGAGTAACAGTCTGTTTGTTTGATCTTCTATGCTTGGTATGTCTGGTTGAGTGATTGTACTCAGTAGGCTTGCATGTAAAACATTGTAATGCATGCATGCAATTCAAAAGTCAGTGAATTTTAGGTAGCTTGAAATTGCAGAGATATAGTAAACTGAAACTCATAAGACTTATCTTAGTGCAACTTTTTTCAGTTAACAACAGAATAACATGATAGGCTACACATTATACGCTAACCATTATAGTGTTTGGTTTCCATTGTGTTTATAATCTCATAAAATCAATATCATAATGATCATAATGATCTGCTTTGTTAAGTGGTACATTTTTAAACATTTAGGCTCCAGCATCCCTGGACAAGCAATTTGGATAATTAATGAATTTGGAAGGCCTTAAGTTTTTATTGCATGGCTTTCCCTTCAACATGCAATTTTAAATTCCATTTTTGAATTGAGCCGGACTTCAACAATGGAAGGTAGACACAAGGTAGACAAGGGTGGTGGGGGTGGGGGGAGGGTGGAGTGGGGTATATGAGTGGTTATGAATGAATGAATGAAATGCATTTGTCCGTGTTTCACTCCGTCTCAAATCACGCTCGTGGAAAGCGATTGAGAAACAGTGTCTCTTCCGCAGCTCGGTACACTTTCAACTCGTTTTTTTAGTCTCGAGCAAGACTACGACATTCACATTACATGATTTGACTGATTTTTACGTAGAAAGGGCGACAGCGCACCACATTAAAAGAAATAATCATTCATGTTTTCATAACCGCTGGCCAAATTCAAAAACGAAACTAAAATTAAATCATCTTTGAGAGCAAGGGGGCCCCCTGGTGTTTCGGGGGCCCTACGCAGCTTGCGTATTTTGCGTTTAGGGAGGATCGACTCTGATAAAGTCAGACCATTCTGTTTTTGCTTCAAATTTCGAAATTATACAGTCTAATTTAGATTTAAAACTGCTCATGCTGCATGTACACTGCATCTTTGTTTGGATTTTGATTAAAATCCAGTGGTTGCCTCTAGTTTTAAATTGAAAGAGCACAGACAAAGCCTTAGTTTGTTCATATTAATAGATTTATTTTATTTGTGTAACTTACATTTGGGGTTTGTTTTAAAATTTCAATTTAGGTTTGTTATATTTTAATGTCACAAAGAAATGTGCAGCAATAGCCTAATAAAACGACACCTTTTCATCTCACTGTATAATGTCTTCAATATCAGTTTGTTTCAAACATCGTGAGAAAATCGCATCTTGAAATCAAAATCATGAATCGAAGCGAATCGTGAGTCGAGTGAATTGTTACATCCCTAATTTTTATTAATGTTAGCAACAAAGATTAATAAATACAGTTAGTAATGCATTAACTAATGGTATCTTATCGTAAAGTGTTACTAATATTTCATATACATTAATTTATTGTTTTGATAAATGCCCATGTAATAAACAGGACAATTAAAGCTGCTGAATTATCACAAAAGAAATCCCTTCAAGGTGCTACAAGATCATTTCAACAATAATTTCCTGTTATCTTTTATATATTTTTTTTTCTATTTATAAGGGAGTGTGGTGTCAATCAAATCCTGTTTATCAAAAGCTGATCTGGTAATATTTTTAATGTGTATGTGCACGTCCTTGCATTAGCATGTACGTGGATGTATGCAGCAGTTGTGGTTATTCTGTTTTGCAGTTACTGGATTGAACGTGAAAGAGCAGATTGTCTGGATTCAAGTCCTGATTCATCTTACCGACTTCCAGACTTGACCAGCCTGACCACATTCACATGATGGCAAATAACTTTACCTGTATGTCTTAATTGATTGACCATTGTTTCATTAGTTCCTCATCTCACACCACACCAACATGTTCACTTTGGATCAATCAGTCAGTCTGTTAAGTGTACTAAATAGCCCTTTGATTTTTATCATGCAGTACTCAGAGGCCTCTTCTATATGCAGTGTAATATCAGAGCTCATTATAAATGCAGCTCTTCACAAAAAGAACTTGAATCTGAGACAAAACTTACAGCAGTGTCTTTTGTGTGATTATCTGTGCCATTTACAAAAAAAGCAGAATTTGCACTTGGAGCGCATCTGCTTCTCTAGGCTCAGCACGAACCAATCATATTTCAGCATGGGTCCCAGAGAGGCCACACTGAGACCCCAAAAGAGGGCTAAAAAAAGTCCCACGCTCATCTGAGCTGGATCCTGCCTAGTAATTTACGTTCGTGATTTACCCAGTGCTGTCAGAAGATTGAGAGGATCAAAGATCAGAGGGATGATCCAGATGTGTGGATATGTGATTTGTGAGAGCCTCCGACTCATTCGCGTCTCTTTCACTGTGATGAGTGGACAGCCTGCCAGTGAACTGGAACCTTTTTATTTCTGTGTGAGGACAGTAGATGTTACAGCAAAGGATATTGTCTGTCTTGAGTCCACTAAGGGGTTAAAATGCTAAGCAACTGTTTTCAGAGCTGCTTGGGACTGAACCGTGTAAGGTAGGACTAAATGAGTGTTTTGATGTTTGAAAGGTACCTGGGAATTTGAGCAGCAACATCATGTATCACATGACCAGAAAGGAAGATGCTCCATACTGTATATTTGTCATGTGTTCTGTTTGTTTTAGTCTTGTTTCCCAGTATTAATATCAAAGCAGCTTTTAAAAAATATAGAAATTTACTCAAAAAGAGTATTTTTTTCTTGAATTAGTTTATTTTAAATGATTTTTTCTTAATCAATTGGCAAGCATTTGTCCTTGTTTTTTTATTTAATATTTTTTATTATTATTGTTATTATTATTTTAATTTAAGCTTAACGTTAATTAAAATATATATTTTTAATTAAAAATGTAGTCAGTACTAGATTACACTGTTTTTCAAAAAACAGTGTTTTGTTTTTTAATTTTTATTATTTTATTTTTATTTTTTTTACTTAGATCCAGCAAGAATGCATTAAAATTGATCAAGAGTAACAGTAAAGGTTTATCAAAGAATTCTGAAAAATGTATCACAGGTTTCACAAAAATATTAAGCAACTCTTTTCAACATTGATAATAACAAGAAAGCGAGTTTAAATAGTAATAATATATCACATTATTACTGTTTTTACTGTATTTTGTTAAATTAAATGTATGTTTTATGTTTTAATAGCCTTTTAAGCATTATTACAGGTTCTTAAAGACAATTGCAAATAAAAACAGTTTTTTTCTGTTACATTGAAACATCAGTATTAAATAGATCAACAGTTTTAAGAACAATTAAAACAAAATATAGACCAATATTTAAAATGTACAAATTGCCAATCTAACATCTTATATTACAAAGTTAAATTAGAAAATCCGCAATCATTTACAGAAGAGATCTCTCTATATAACACCTTGGGATGGGAAATGCAGCCTTGGGTGAGCATAAGAGTCTCCTACCGACCACAACATTTTGATAGTATATGCCATTTTGTAAACCGATCTTATTTTAGGGATGTTTAAATCTTTTTAGTGAATAAAAAGAGTTTCGCCTCCTCATTTTCTAAATTTCTCACGCCTTAGTCTAATGGCTCGTCTGACATTTAAATGTCGCTATTCAGCAAGGGACTCAGGCAGCAGCATAGGTCTTGCTAACATGCCCTGTCTGTCAATGTGTGTACTGTATGGACGCAAGACCTTTATTATTAATTCATGCTAGCCATTTATGAAGGTCTCTTTTTGCAGCTGAGGAATGTTTCTATCTTTAATTGAGAGATCCATTATAATCTCTCTTAGCTTTGTGTGAAATCACGGAATGTAAATCTGGCATTGTAACTGAGTCAAGGCCAGCAGCAGTGCAATTCCCAATTAAATGAATCTGAAGCCCTGCAAAGATTGACACTGATGTGAACTGAGCTGTGCAGAATAAAGAAATTAGCATCATCTGTCTTTGTAGGAGAGAGGTCTAAAAATAACATTGGTGTGTGTGTTTGTGTGTGTGTGTGTGTGTGTGTGTGTGTGTAAATCAGCACCAGGGGCCCGTTCTTCGTACATCGCTAACTCAGTTAGC